CCTGTTGTTGGTACTACAGAGATAAACTTGCTGTAACATCTTTGGGAAACACGAAGAGGAGGAGGTGAACTAACAGACAGGGAGTGAGGGAGGGAGGCTACTTCTGGCTGCTTTCTGAACTGCGGTATTGTCACGATGGGGGTGGTATAAGAGGCTGTGACTGGCCTGAAAGTGCACACAGAGGCTCATTGACAGGGCGGAGGAGAGGAGGCTCGGTGGGTCCCGGCGGGGCTACAGCAGTGCCAGCGAGCTCCTTCCACAGACTCACAGCCGCTGGTGCTGTCAGAGAGAAACCACGAGGGGAATGCAAACGGAGTCGATGCTGCTGCTCTGCTCAGCTTTTTTTTTTTTAATCCACCTACTACTGAGCAAGGCAATATTCTGAGCACATTTTTATTCATCACAGAGCAATTGACGCTAAAAAAAAAAAATGTCCTTGCGACGGCATATTCTGATAGGATAGTGATGCGACAAGGTCGATGTGGGATGTTCATTTATTCACATCTGAACAGCCTGATCGCTGAATTTATTCTCAGGTGCAAGAAAAAGACTTAAAGGGATATTCCACTGATTTAAACATGTATTTAACCATCACAGTGGGGAAACTACACAGACTGAGAAATTTAAAAATAATAGAGTTATATCAGCTTCGGGTTGAGATTTTATTTTAGCCATTAGCCCTGTAAGGTGAGGATCATACTCTGCTGCGGACAGCGTGGATGAGAAGTCAAGCCTGCTGTAGTCGACTGCAGTGCAGCATTTCTGTGGACGACTCTGTGGAGTCACACATGTCAGCACAGAGCCTCAGTCCTACCCTTCACCAAGATCCGAGCATACTTGTGCACGCAGAAAGTCTAAAACACTTTTATCTAATTATTCTTGCATCCCTTCACAGGCTTCCAGTGAAATTCACAATCAACTTTTAAATTCTGTTACCAACATATAAAGCTCTACATGGAAAGGCCTTTACCAGAACAGCCGGCCTCGCCAGTCCTCTGATGTGTGCATGTCGGGATGAATGCCTGACTGTATGGTAATCAGGCGATTAACTTAAATTAATAATTAAACTCTCTGATGCTAAACAGTCTACAGAAAAGAAATCTTTCGCCAAAACACAGAATTACAGTTATGATTGGTTCTCAGCATCCTTCTTAATGGAGGATCCACCACATTAAAGGCTTTTAAATGAAGTAGACTTATGTGGAAAAGAGTTAAAAGTCCCCCCAACACCAAGTCTGCACCAGTGTGAACTCATAACGCATCCCACCCACTATCCAAACCTTCTGTTTACCAGGGCCAGCCAATCAAAAGGACGGGCTCTAAGAGATAATGAACCGAGAGGCTACACCAGTATAACATAAATAAGGAACTGCACTGGGAATCCCAACAAGCTTATCAGGCATCAGAAACAGATACTGTTTGAAATAATCGGTCAAAGTATCAGCAGGTTAACCGATAACAAAAATAACTGTTAGGAGAAGGATGTGATGAGTTGCAGTGAATGTAATATTCACTCGTTCCTTTATGCATGAGCAGTAACAAACATCACAGTCACTGTGCACAATATTTGCATTGAGTGGGCAATAAAATCCATTCCTGTGGAACCAGTTTGGACTCGTGGGACAGAAACTCTCTCTTCGACTCTCACGTTCAGCTTCAAACTTTCGTTTTGGTAAAGCTCACGAACGGGACTGGATCAGGTGACCCAGAACAAATCCTTAGTTACCCTGCGACGTGCTCAGGCTGCTGCAGGACTTCCACGATGCAGAGAAGCTTTCTATGCATCTGTTATTTCTGATTTTATAATCTTTGCATCTTCATGCTCCCTGCACCTTTCAACTCTGGAGCTGTATGTTTCTGATCTACTCCAACCGATAAGACTAGTGCAATTCATCATGGCCTCCAACCATGCATGTCACAATAATATCACAATAACCCTATAAAGTCTGTTAAAATCATCCATAAATTTATTTTTGTTTATTTTTAAAACAGTACTGGCAACTTTAACTTATATGAAGACATATTCCTGCAGAACTCAGATCAGACAGCTCCAAATCACAGGGCACCGTAACACCATCTCAGAGGAACCGACGTTAGCCCGAACGCTGGGTAAGCAGAGGAGCAGCAGGAAGAGGAGACAACAAAATCGTAATTAAATTAAGAATTAAATTAAGAATAAAATCTTCAACAGTCTCCAGAGCATCACTCAACAACATAACAGCAGCCTGACTGCACCTGCATGAGTGACTCGGTCTAACTGAGCTGAAGTGTTGTGGGAAAGTGAGTCTCTCCAACTGCAAGATGGGATCCAGCCAAAAGAGAAGAGAGCCAATATAAACCACAAAATGTGGCCCAAACTGTGCTGCTGCTGCTGCACGAATTCAAACCCCAATTATCATCAATACCTTTATATACTTCTGTACTTCCAACCAGATTATCAAGATAATCAAGTTAAAACAATCATCTGTCATTTTGCTCTTTTTCTTCTTTTTATCTGAAGTCAGGTCACAGTGGCAGCAGCTAAACTGGGTATTCCACACATGCTTTCTCCTAGCTACACTTTCCAGTTTCTCCTGTGGGATCCCGAGTTTCTCCCAGGCCAGATGAGGCACATAATCTCTCCAGTGGGTTCTGGATCTACTCTGAAGTCTCCTCCTAGTATGGCATGCCGGAAAAACCTTCAGGTAGACATCCAGGAATCCTTTGGACAGGAAGGAACAGCGACTCTACTCAGAGCTCCACCTAGGTGTCTGAGCCCAGGCACCCTGCAGGGAAACCCATTTGACCTCGTTCTTTTGGTCAGCGCACAGCTCACAGGGCTGGCTGAGGCAGATTTGCCTTAACGTGAACCAAGACGACTGAAAGAGACTTTGGTCATCAAGAAAATTAAACCCTGCTGGGAAACGTTTTAGCTTCGAGGAGTCTGGAGAGGAAGTTCAACAAATGCACGAAGTTGCAAAAGCTGAGGTAGTATGATGAGGATTTTTTTTAAAAAGGAGCAGCCCCCGCTGAGGCCAAAGGTTGTCTTCACTGGCTCTGTCTGAGGTTTCTTCCTGTTAACAGGTTTTCTCCCCGTTGCCACCGACAGCTGCCTCGGTGTCATTCTACACTACTTTAAGGTTTTGGCCTTGCTGTGTAAATTCCTAAAATAAACTCGGCCAAAGAAAAGTCTTGGTTGTTTTTTATGTCTATAGAAATAGGGAAGCAAACAAGAGGACGCGAGCAAGAATGCACGCATAAAGAAGGGATGGAAAAAAAAGAGCAAACAGATAAGATGAAGGTCAAAGTGAGCACAAAGTGTTTTGTTTTTGTAAATGCACCCTTCTGGAAAACACAGCCACTCAATCAGACATCGCTAAGTGTAAACACAGGGCAGCGAGGCGCCGCGTTCGCAGCTAAAAGCTCCAATCAGTGAAGAAAACAGGCAGGATCATGTGTTAGCCTCTGAGCCAAGCGGGCATGTGGTGCTTTTGTTCCTCCTAAAATGACTCAAGCGGATACCTGCGTATGAAAAATGTGAGCTGCGGGGACACTGCTGCACATTCATCAGCAAACAAATAAAGTGCAACTTGACACCAGAGGAATACTAACATGTCTTCTGCTGGAAACAAATAGCTGTGGTGTCCTTTAAACAAATCAGCCAGCAGCGACTGCTGCAAAGGACGGATTAACTTTTCATGGGTGTAAAGCATTGACACAGAAACTACCAACAAGCCTGCTGACTAACAAGCAGGGAGACGGAGGAAATGAAACAGAGAAGTAGCACCGAAACAGAGTCATAGATACATTTTTTTTAAAGCTCAGACAATAAAAGAACTGAAGCAAAGGACAGAAAGGAAAGTTAATCTGCAGATACATTCATGATCGCCTGTTTTTTAATTGAAGATGCAGAACTTTCTTTGTGTTTGCTCCTTCTTAAATGTGAGCATGTGCTATAAAATCTATTACGGTTATAGAATTAATATTTACATATAGAGTATACACATATAGGTTTGAGACTTGGTGATTAGTAACATTTTCATATCAATAGTGTGTGAAATTTTGCTTAAACACTGCAAAAAACCTCATTTCCTCACTTATCTGGTTAATGAGGCACACGGATGGTTACAGCTCCTTAAACGTGAGGATGTGGTGCTATTCTCCTTATATTAGATTTACAGTTACTGTATGTGGAACAGTTTGTGATTTGGTTTTGAGATTTTGTGCACGAAACACCAAAACAATAAATCATTAACTCAACAGGTAGCAAATTAATACCGAGCAGAAGATTTTCAGCTCATTTAAAAACAAATATGAACATAACAGTTTAGATTGGCTTTCACTGCATGACATCTAAATAAACAAAATTGATGCCAGCTGAGTTTTCATTTAAATTTGTTATATGACTATTTTGCATCTTTATTCCGATACTTCCTGCCACGTTGCTAGCCGATTTGAATACGCGCTCCGACGCCATCGTAGGATTGGACACGTGCCAAGGAGTTGGAGGGAAACATTAACAGTGAGTCACGTTTTCCCTTTCCCCCCCCCTTTTTTCTTTCACAGTAACATCTTCACAATAATGTGCTGTGTGTGTGAGAAAATTGCTAAACTAGCACAGTCTAATCTGAGTAGTCTAACACAGGGTTAACCCAGCTGTGTACTCTGGGATTTTGAGTGAGTATGAGATTTAAATTTAATGGTACACATCAAAGGGTCTGATTAATAGTGAGGAAGTAAAACAGATGCTTTCTTGTGTGAAGGAAACTGTAATCAACTAAACTGTGGGTGTCACGCTGCAAGTGTGCATTCAAAAGTGCCTTTGTTTGACATCGTATAACTAAAAGAATAACTGGCGACATTTAATACGACATCCGGGCTATTTTCTGCAAATATGAATGAGCGTGTGCCTTTTATATGTGACATTTTATAAGCTCAACAATGAATCAATTTGTACACAAAATAGTAAATAATAATTATTAGCCTTCAGGAAATCATAACATTATGAATCATGTACTCACCTGCGGGGTCAGCTCTTGTAATGATCCTTGAAGAGGAGTCAGTCTCCCGTCAGGCACCTCTGTCTCCCAACAACAAAACCACGGAGCTGGGGGCGAGAAAACCGGGACATGTTTTAAAACACAACAGCTCCGAGGCTGAAAATCTCCTCGGCACAATGCATGAGCGGACTCCCGGGAGGACACGGAGAAGGATATCTGAATCTTGGATTAGACTGCGGTATTTTATGGAGAACATCAAGTCTCTGTATTTCTCTCACTTCATAATTTGACACACATTTGTGAAGATATGAAAAGAAAGGTGCAGTTTTAACCCCCCATCAAACAATGGGGAAGAATCCTGGATTCAGATCGAGCCTTTTTTGGAATAATCCTGCTAACAAAGACGAACCAACCAATCACAGAGGCTCCTCGGTGGAGGTAATAAACCCCCGGCCTCATCTTTCCCCCTCCCATCCTCCTCCTCCTCCTCTCTGCATCTTAAATCATAAGAAGAAACCGCAAAATCTGCCCGTGTGTAACCAGATCTCAAAAAGTTTGATGCCGGAGTTTAAGATGGGGTTTGAGGTCAATGTCACCTCTGCGATGGGACGCGGGGAAAGGCCGCAGCCTTCCTCGGCTCCACAAGCGAACAGGAAACCGAGAGGAGAGGAAGATGCTCCCTTTGCCCTCGGGAGACACCGGCACTCGGCAGACGCCAGCCATGCAAAGACCACAAGCCCCCGCTCCTCTATCTCGCCCTCTTTCCTCAATCTCGTCTTTCCTTTCATCTCTGAGTCATTGTAAAGTGTAATGAAAGAAAGATGGATGAATAATTCAGTAGACAGCATTTAAGAACTCCCCTTTTATGTCTTTCTGAGAATGCAGGACAGTGCCACACAAAGATTTCCTTTAAAGTTTCAGCCTAATGTGGGATTCCCCCATTAATCGAACTCCCCGTTAATTATGCTCGCTTTCTACAAAGGTTTACAGCATAAGTGGGGCGCCACGTCTGCAGTAGGGTCTCCTCAGCCAGCGTTTTTTTTGTCTCGTCAACACAGATATGTTTGGGCGCCGAACTGCAGTATTAACTCTTCATTTCCAAACGCGCTCTATAAGGTAACGGGGCCTGATCCTGTTAGATCTTGTCAAACTGCAATGGGATTAGAGGTGTTGAGCATCTGCCCACTCAATCTGGGGTTTTAATAGAGCAAGAGCAGATCCGCCGTTCTGGCCTCGGTTTGCCAGGTGCTGAGAAACGGAGACCACAAAGTGGCCAGCAGATCGAGAAAAAGCCCTAAACAAGACTCTTACTTTCAAATCCATTTTTTTTTTGAAGGTGGGATGATAAAAAATTAGAAATATTCAAGGAGGCAAATTTAGGTTTTCAAAGTGGTTTGGTGGGATGCTGGGGATGAGGATGAGGAGATTCATGGAATGAGGGCAGGGATAGGGGGAGAAAATTCAAAGGCGACTCAGCCAAAGCAGAGCGAAGAAATGCACAAAAGCTTCTTAAATCATGTCAGTCTCACTCTTGGGGATAGGCAAGGCCATCCGAAGATACGTCAAACACCACCCTTTCCATCTGCCAATCTGTAAAGGCAAAGACTGAAGTTCTCGCTGTGTACGCAAAGTGTGTAGGCGGGATATGTAAACAATGTGACAAAAACCTCAATCCTCACACGCTGGAATTAAGCAAGACTCGGGAATGGCTGAATCTCTCCTAAAAAATGTAGGCCAGAGTCGTTTTTTTCCCTCATTTTCTGCAGACGCACAGTGGTCGGTATCATTAATACAGATGCAGATAAATATCAAAGTGGAATAGAGATGTGTGTGAGACAGAATCAGGCTGGCGGGTTCCCTCGGCACTGCTTCCTGTCTGATGTTTGGCTACATGAACCGAGACGAATCGCACACAAGCAATATTTGGGATGAGGAGCGAGAGGAGGTGGGGGAAGGGATGGATGAGGAGAAGGAGGAGGAGGAGAAGGAAGAGGAGGAGGGGAGCTCCCTTCCCAAAAGAGGTCTGAGAGATTGGAAGTGAGCCATGCAGGTCTGAGAGCAATCACACAAAACGCAGGGATCCTTCTTAAATCTGTGCCAGCCAACCTCCACACCCATGGAGGAAGCACATCAAGGGTCCCTTCATCCTCCAGATATCACACATTCAGGCAGCATTCAGGCAGCACACCATCCACCACCTCCACCCACCCTCGTGCACGTTTGGCAGATTTATGGCACTTTGTTAGCGGGAACCAAAACGGGATTTGGAGCTGGTTCAGGCAAACATTTAAATAAAAAGGACACAGAGTGTTAACAGTGCTCAGCCTGCTGCTGTAATAAAATGTAAGCTAACCCACGGATATTAATGCTAACCTAAACAACTCACACACACATATGCACACAGGGAAATCAGCCCTCCTTTAGCAGTCATCTCGTGCCTATTCACGTCAAGTCAACACCACAAAACACGAGACCCCTCGCTGTCATTTCAGGGAGAAAAATCTGCTTCACTTGGACACAGAAACAACATCCCAACAGGCAGACAGAGCGCCGGGCGCTGAAGACCATGTCAGCTGTAAAAACTGCATCACCAATACAAATTAACCCCCTCCTCCCAAAGTACACATTTTGGGTCATCTCACCTTTCTCCTTCTGCCTTTTCTGTCATCCAGTCATCTGAGAGCTCCTCACACCAGAATGAAACGTAAGGCACGAGAAGCAAAGAGGGGAAAAAAGACATGAAAGGAGGCCACAACCTTACATTTCTGCTTTCCGGCCGCCGAGGAGATTACGTCCCCCCCCTCCCGCACCACCTCCTGTTAAAAGTGCCGTCACTTTGCGAGCGTGGCGAGGAAGCCGGTTTCCTCTATGCTACAGCTAGAAAAGGCCTGTCCTTGGGCATGAGCATTGTGTATGTGTCTGTGCTGTCTGCAGAGGCTGCCATGCCTCCCATTGTTCCAGGGCGAGTGAGGCAGGCTTCCTACCCCAACAGACCCTGCCTACTACAACAGCTGTGGACCAGCCCCCACCTCCCAGTTGCTCTCCTTCTCCCCTCCTCCTCCACCTCCTACAACTCCTGCCTGTGCTGCTGCTGCTGCTGCTAAACATTAACCCCACAGCTGCCGGCTTGGGTCATAAAGAGGAGGAGAAGGGGGAGTTGTTTTCACAGGAGACCCTACCTTGTACGGACAAAGGGACGTAACAGGGAGAGGATATCCGACATCCCGGCCGAACTGACAGCAGCTCTGCACAGAGCCATTAAGTGCCCTAGAAAGAAAACAGGCTCTGCACTAAGAGGATTGTCCTTCTCTTTCACATTGGCAGTACGTGTTGGACAGAGTCCTGTGCGACGGCACAGAGGGAAAGACTGGAAATCAGGAGGAATCAGGAGGCTCCAGCTTATGATTACTTTCATTAGAAATTATAGTCTCAATTATTCTCTGCTGTGGCTTAGAGAAAATGGAGCAAACACAGCAACCCAGAGTTAACAGAGCCCAAATTATGTGCCGAGATGAGGTGACGGGAGGTTTTTCTTATCTCTACATATTGTATCTAAAAGATGGAATCTGCCATTCGAATGCAGCTCGTTTCTGGACTTCAAATTTTCAAGCCTTTAAAGTTAGAGCAGCAAGAAACGACTGCAGTTAGTTGAAAGGATGTGTACTATGTTACCAGTTAATCCCATCAAGCTTGTTTAAACATACAGGTGCAACAATCAGACACATCTGCAAAGACACCAATAAGCAGCTAGGTGGAGAGGTCCAATTCAGGGACTTCAGTTCATGGAGGTGAGACCTAGCAGGCAGCGGGTTCAGTTCAATTTGATTTATTTAGCACCAAATCAACAAACCATGTGGCACAAAGCTGTCACCCTGGGTTTGATTCTGTCCTCGGTCATTTGCTGCGGAAACCTGAGCATCAGCAGGAAGAAAATGCACTACATTTAGGTGTTAGAACACACTCCGTGTCATCAATATTTCCTCATTTGACAGCTGTAATCTGCCCCACTCAGCAGACTCTCTGTGTATCTGTTTCCATGCTTGCTTGTTTGTTGTTCATCAGTCCTGGAAGTTGCCACTTGTGACCAACCAAAAGAAGAAAGGTTGCACCGATGTTGGTGTAGCCACAAATAAAATGGAATCTATCGACTTTAGTAGCCGATGTTTATGTGTTGTGCAACATCCGTTTTGCGTTGGCTCGGAGACACTGGGGTGAACCCATGATTTAATAACGGCATCCAGAATTTCACAATCTGTGGATCCCCAAAAAGGAGAGAAAAATGGGGCCCGCTAGCATTACAGCTCAGCTGATGTGGATGGCATGACTGTTTGCATCCGGTCACAGTGTCACAAGCCTCTCGTATGGGTGGATGAACACATCCTTTTTCTTTTTTGAGTAACTGGGATTTTTGGGGCGAGACACTTTGCCGAGTACTTCAAATAAATTTCTGTTAGCACCTCAAAGTAAGAAAGTACAGTTACGTTATGTTACGTGAAGATATTTGTTACACTTGGACCCGAGGGGACCCTAGCAGACGCATGGATGCGGATATATAATCCCGGGTTTAATGACTAGCCTGGATGATTTACTGCTCCAAGTTCAGCCTGACCCTAGCTCAAAACCAGTCATAGTGGTTGTTTCTTTATCTTCTGTTGATAGCTTTAGTTAACTTCTAGAGGTTCTAACCTTTCTTTTCTTTTTTTTTTTTAAAAACACAGAAAGAATTAAAGTTCCCTGAAAAAGTCTCTTTTCTCCAACCCACCATGTAAGAGTCAAATTAAAAATTAAACAAGTAAACTAAACTGTGAGTCTTTTTTTGAAAGCCTTTGATAATTACTTATTAATAAAATATGCTGCTTTATTTTCTCAGTACAACAGTCCCAAACCCAAATGGGTGACACATTTCAGAAGTATGGGTGAGAAAATGTTTGGGGGGTTTTTTGGTTTTAAATAACTGAAACAGTTATTAGTTCCAGATTAATCGCTTCAATCGATTAATGAGTTAACAGTGTGGCTGTTGTGCAGCAATCTTTGTGAATGGGGGGGTCACGGCTTCCACAATCAGCGTCTTGTGTGAACCGGTCAGCGCCCTGGCAGGTTTCTCGGC